CACATGAAATCGTTTACCACCGAATCGTTATGGAACTTAAGGTTGTATGAGGGTTTGAGACTCGCCAACCCGTTTTAAATTAAATATTTATATTTTGAATGTCTATAAGAATTGATTTTGAACCGGTATCTCGTTCCTGTTTAAACTTCCTGTGAAGGTTTGATTTGCTTTAATAAGTACCGCGGACCGTTTGAAAAAGTAATTTTGTGCTTATACTTGCAGTCATACGGATAGTATCCATAGGCTGCAGCACGAAGGTTAGCCCATCCAAATGTGCATGGGTGGTGCTCAATAAACATACCGATATACATCTGCGATGCTACTCTGGTGATATAGCTTTTCACGTCAATATTTCGTGTCTGAACCGTGAATCAGCAAAACAACTACTTTTGCAGCAAAGGGCCCAAAGATTAATACATGAATGTGCTATTAATGGCATGTAATGCTTGTGCATGCTTAATTCTAAGGACTTTAGAAGGTACACGCCGGTATGAGGTGAATCTTGAGTGTAAAAGCGGTATTGCAGTAAAGGGGACAGATAATGAGCGGACGTAAGTCGAAAATACACCGTAACATTGTATTTTATCACACGGCAGTGTTGAACATATCGCTACCGACTTAATCAGTTGATCATACTATTTGTGCATTTGTCACCTCACCGCTTTCTCCTATATCTGCTTGCGTCATTGTATAGTACAATCTTGATTTATGAAGAGAACAAAGAAGCCACTACTCCGTTTTTAGATGATTACATAAGAAAGGCAGAACGGCTTTAGCTGTGTTCATATTTTCTAATTTTGTCAAAATGTTTTTCCTTTTTCTCATTATTTGCGCTGTAATATATTACTTTGCAATAATTAATACTGAAAGCTATTTTTGGTGCATCCTGTGAATGAAAGCCTTTCAAACATGTTGATGTACTGCTGTATACAAGTAGCGTAAGCAGTAGAGTGCGATCAACGGGTGGGAGTGGGTTAAATCAGACTTAATCCGTGAATTTCGTTCTCCGAACAGGTTTGTGGAATGTAACTCTCTCACGTAACTCTCTCACGTAAATCTCTATTTTCATCGTATTTTTGTTTGATGTATTTACTGTTACTTATGCGTATTATAAATTCGTAGATGTTTTTAGGTTCTGATATGTTTTTAATAAGAGTCAATGCTTAGCTGTTGGACGTCATTTGTTCTCAGATGCCTAAGGAATATAAAACCAAGATGCTGTGTCATGGTATTTTTGCACCTGGATTTGGCAGATATGCTTGCCGTGTCGTTTTACATAGTCTTTCCTGCTAACAGTGAGGTCTTACACGTGTGTCCCCAGCTGAAATACGTTATTTCTGAAATTACGAGGTAACTACCTTCAGCTTTTTCGCGGGGTTTGATTTCCCCAATGTGCAGAAGATGTTTCCTTCGTTGCGATGACGCGTCTGGTATACTCAACTTGGCAAAAATTGAGTCAGCTGGCATCTCTGCATGCATGACACCTCTCCCGCTCATTTGACACCCATTAGTTAGCTGACCGGTCTTTTTAATGACGAACCCGGTTTTTATGCTGGTGCGTTAGGGTATCGGCAGCGCTGCGATATTCACCGTAATCTTATGTTCGTTTTACCTGCTGACGAGTTTCACAGCAGGTAAACAATAGTGAGCGTGTCCCACAGTGTACACCATTCAAATGATGTAGATGAAAAGATATTTATCTGAAAGCTAGGTTTCTTGCCGATTTCTTGTGTTGTTTCAGCAGCCCCTTCTCATTACTCTTTTCTTGTCTGTGGTCGAAGGCTTGGTTGTAGAATTTGTTGTCTTGCAGTTAAACTGTCTTGACAGGATGCTTTTGCGAAGGCAGCGATTGATTATAGCTTATTTTCGATCAACTACCTTCCTGCTTGTTTGCGAGTATGTTCCCTCATTTTGAGGAAATGTAGAATCTGATGAGTGATGATCTCAGATGCGATGCCATCGGCAAGAAATAAACCGCATAGATGCCATTATCGATAATTATCGGTCGTTCCATTTTTTATTTCTTTTCTACAAGATGATAATTCGTTTGTGTAGCTCAAAGGGGCGTTGACAGGGGACCACCCAAGTTTGATTGTGTTGCTGCAATTTGGCACACTGTCGACTGAACTGCTGTCAATTCTGACCTTGCCGAG